GACCCTCTACTCCTATTATGAATAGCGACCCTCTTCTTCTATTATGAATAGCGACCCCCTTCTTCTATTATGAATAGCGACCCTCATTTCTTATTATGAATAGCGACCCTCTTCTCCTATTATGAATAGCGACCCTCTTCTTCTATTATGAATAGCGACCCTCTTCTCCTTTTATGAATAGCGACCCTCATTTCTTATTATGAATAATGACCCTTATGAATAATAACCCTTATGAATAACGACCCTCATTTTGCATTATGAATAGCGACCCTCATTTTGTATTATGAATAGCGACCCTCATTTCGTATTATGAATAGCGACCCTCTTTCTGTGTTATGTATACCGACCCTTTTGTAATATTATGAATAGGGACCCTTATGAATAACGACCCCGTTTTCCTATTATGAATAGCGACCCTCTTCTAATATTATGAATACCGACCCTCTTCTTTGATTATGAATAGCGGTCCTTATGAATAATGACCCTTATGAATAATGACCCTTTTCTCCTATTATGAAAAGCGGACCTTATGAATAGCGGTCCTTATGAATAATAGACCTTATGAATAGCGGACCTTATGAATAGCGGTCCTTATGAATAGCGAAGACAGTCATAACTTATTATAGGAGGCGCGATAGCTCAGTTGGTAGAGCAGTGGTCTCGTAATCCGGTGACCCGGGTTCGTTCGCAAGGCGATGCGCTATTTCCCTTTGGTAAGGTATTAATCCTCATTACCAGGTCCTTCGGAGAGGACCTAAAGCCGTCGGCCGTCTGGTTGCTTACTAACAAGCATTTATGTTTTCTTAACATTCAGGTAAAATAACCATCACTAAAGGATTGTGGGTTTGAATCCATTCGTAATTATAGGCCCATTTCCTTGATAAATGTAGATTACAAATTAGTTGCTAAAGTAATGAGCCATCAACTAAAAAAGGCAATTCATTCTTTAATTCATTCAGATCAACAGGGATTTTTAAGAAGTCGTAATATTAGTGCAAATATTCGCACTATCATAGACCTTATTGAATACTGATGCGATAGTGGTTCAATAGTTTTCTGGATTTCGAAAAAGCTTTTGAGGGGATCGAGCTCGAGCATGTATATTTATTTTAAGTCTTTAGAACATTTTGATCTTGAAGAAAATTTCATTAATTTTGTAAAAACCTTTTATAAACACAGATTCAGTTATGTTATAAATAATAGTTTTTGAATTAAGCCCTTTCCTCTGAGCCGTGGTATTTTTCGAGGGTGCCCTATTTCATCTTATTTCTTTGTTTGGGCAATTGAAATTCTAGCTTTTTCATTAAGGGTTAGTCCCGATATAAAAGGAATCAAGATAGGTGAAGTGGAGAAAAAAGTTACTTTATTTGCTGATGACACTATTTTTTTTTTGAATGGTGAAATAGATTCTTTTGTTAATTTGTTTGAATTGTTACATTATTTTGAAAGTTTTTCAGGGTGTCTAAGTCTGAGGCCATACATATTGGCAGTTAAAAGAATAGTGAAGAAAAACCTTTTGAAGAGAGAGGACTTACCTGGAAAAGTAAGACCTTAAAAGCATTTGGAGTAACATGAGCGCTACATGAGCGCTACAGAAAGAGCGCACTCCCCTTCATTGTGAGGTTACTCAATTCAAAACTGGAATAATGTAAAGACAGATCTCTTGTTCTTAAATGCTAAGCATGTACGTAAATCAAATTGTTATCTTATAGATGTGTTTAAATGAAAAATTATATTGTTTTCTGAAGGTACATGTTTTTTATACGGATTATATTAATTTCAATATTGCATATTACCAATCATATTCTCTATTAGCCAATAATAGGAAGTGAAACTATAATTTTACTCTCCATTCGTCCTAGGTGAATTATATGTCCATTTTGTTCTCCATATACATGTACCTTGCACCCATATGACAATAGGCCTGCTTTGAAGCATGTAAAACAGATTATTTTTCTTAGCATTGATCATAATTTTTTTAACTGTTATATTCTTCCTATGAATTTGCTTAAGTCATATCATAAAACATTTATTTTTCCTCATCCATTACCCACTTCCGTTATCCCACCATCAATATTCTTTGATTTAAGGTGTACCTATAATTGTTTGTTATGAATGTAATATTTTTAATGACTTTTTAATACTATTGTATTTTGTGCAGTATCCTTGTGTAAATTATTACCTATGTAAATTGCACTCAATTCAGCCGAAAGGCTGCCATGTACAATGTTATTTATACCACAATAAATAAAATTCTCTTTATCAACTAAATCTTTGTATGAACTTAATTATCCCATGGGTTTATTCATTTACGGTACAAAGACAACTTAATTAACAAACATCCATATAGGCGAGAATAATGTGTAAATAATCACATTTAATCACATAATACTGTACTTAATATGCTCAGCTGCATAATCATGATTCAATAGTTTACCAATGCACAATTAATGATACACTGGTGCAAGCAGATGGCACATTCTGCTCACAATAGACTAAATAAAAAAAATTAAAAATTATGAATCAGTCATAGAAAATGCATACAATCAATATACCTGGATAACTTAGAGACAAATTTGTGTACATGTATAGTCACCATGTAATTTCATTCATGATATTAACTTTACCAAGTGGGTGGAATTAATTTATAAAATACATGAGAACATCATCATGTTCTGAGGTAAATGATTATTTGGCTGACTTAAACATACAACATTTGTGATTGCTTATATTTATTTTGTCATTCACAGCTATTATTCCTACGTGTACTGTTAAACATTATGTGCATATCCTTTGTTACTTAATTTTAATTCCTTCATCACAAATGACGATCTGTTCTGAATCTCCATGGTTAATATGCCTTCCAGTCCACATCAATGTTCTGTTTTTTGCTTTAATGACTAAACCATTTTACCTTCATATTTGTCAGTTTAAGATATTTCAGTTGATAAATTGGAGAAGAGTCACAATTCAAAATGAATTGGGCAACTCTCTAATCAGCTTCGAGGCTTCATGATATTCAAAATATTACACTCAATCCCTGATTTCTGCAAATCTTTCACATCTTCTTTTGACTAAAAACACTCTCCTGGAATGACTGAATTGTTATGGAATATGCTCATATGGTTATTGTTTTAAATAAAATTTCTACTCATCATTGATAAAAGAAAAGTATTTTGCTGACACAATAGAAGAATGGAAGTCATTCAATAGAAATTTGGATGGTGGATACTGTCTTTTTCAGGGCCCGTATTCAATAAACTTCTAAGACATTTTTCTTAAGTCTAAGAAAATGTCTAAGAATTTGTCTAGGTTAAGAAAGTTGCCTTAGCCGTATTCTAAACACGTAAAGCAGTTTGTCTTAGCTAAGACGAAAGATAAGACAAATTCTTAGACCCGATGACGTCATGTGGGAAAGTTGATGTGGTCGACTCGAGCAAATTAATTGCAACTCGATTTGCCTATGTAATTTGCGTGTTAAAATAAAAATCGCACCGCACGAAAACTATACACTAACATGTATGGGAGAGCGTAAGGGAGGAACGATGCTCACATAATTATTTCGGGATTGACCAACTGACACTAAAACAGTCTAGTCAAGACCACCTGAGGCTAGATCTAACATCCACTGTAGGCTTTTTATACTTTTCTGTCAAACAACTCCGAGGAGCCCAACCGGGCTTACTTATTATGTTGCAGCCGCAGGGTCTGTGAGCTCTACACAAACCTTTAAACTATGTCTCCAAAAGAAACGTGCATCAATTAATTGAATGCACATGACACCCCCCTCTAGACGTTAGTGCTTTTAAGCGATGTCTGGACACCAATTCTGAGATTCTGAGATTGAAGGGAGCGCCGTCACTAGCCGGCCGACCAGCACTAGCATTGGATTTGGAGCTACCCTTTCATTGTCTTACATCGTCTACTGTTATGATGGCCTAAAATTAATCAAATGGTAACCTTTATCAGACCCATACTATAACAAATTTTGTCTCACCTAATATTATGCCGATTGCACATTATTCCCTGTTTCCATACTTTAGCGCCAAAGACTAATAAAAGTAAGAGACGGTTTCTTTATATACGACAGCCATGTCATGATTTCGTGTTATGCATGTATGCTACTACTCGTTTAGTTGTGTACAAACAAACATACATAAGTACAAGTACACAGAGCCTATGGCGCTCCTGCGCGCTGCGCCGTCGACGCTGTATACGCGAAGCTTACGTTGTTATATAGGTCAACTGATAACCTGCGCTCGCGCTGCATGCATTGTTTTTATTCCATTTGATCGAAACCCGAAGCGGTTGCTTGCAGCATCACTGAGCTGCCGGTGCCAAAGCCCCATTTAAACATCCTCGTAGTATGCTTAAATATAGGGTAGATTTCTTACTTATCTTAGATATCTCGATTGTATTAGAATACGACATGCTACTTAAGTCCTTTTTCTTAGATAAAATCTAAGAATCCTTCTTAATCTTAAGGCAAATTTCTTAAGTCCCCATTGCTGTTATAGAATACGATTTTTGGCTAAGATTTTTTCTTAGCCAAAATTTAAGAAAAAGTACTTAGATTTCATGCTTAAGAAGTTTATTGAATACGGGCCCAGATATTTTCTGGAATAGAGATTGAGATTCTTTGTTACGTTTCTGCCTTTGCTTAATTGTTTAACATGGATGTTAAGTTAAAATATTATTTTGATAATCTGCCTTTAAAGGTATAAACCATTTCTGGTCATGCGATTGCATTGTGAAAGAAACGTTGTGGAATCGATCAGGAAAGGTTGACCATCTAGCATATAAGTATTGGTGTGTACTGCAAGGTTCTGGAATCATTAAAATGATTAGAAATTTGGCCCAGTCTTGACAAAGTTACAAGCACTGTACACAGAAAGATGTATATGGGACTACCCTATATCTATCCAGTCCGGATAGATATAATAATTTACCAAATATATCAATTAGTAGGCAATTTCCCGGCAAAATTTGTATTATCTCTTATTAGTCAAAACACATTCTTTCACCTGATTGGTAATAAGAGCTTCCATTTCAATTTTGAGAGGGGGGCGTTTCCAAAACTGGTCTTTACCTTTAAGTATCTAATGCTTTGATTGAAATAGTGCTCTTTCCTCTCATCAAAAATTCCAATATAAAATACACAATAGCTGCATAGCACATAATACTGCCATGTAGCAGACCTGAGGAGGAACTACTGGGCCCTGTTTCATAAAACTTGATATCAATAACACGTTACAAGCTACTGTTATAAGCTACTGAAATCATGGCATATGATTGGCTGAATGCAAATTTGTCATAGAAATCTAGCATTTGTTATAGATAACAAGTTTTATGAAACGAGCCCCTGGTATTCGAAGCTCCAGGATTTGATCCATGACCTTGCATCCATATGCGTGTCACAACTATCCCTTTCAATGCGCTATGGGTCCCGTTTCACAAACCTTTTTTCAATGACAAATGACAAAAATCATTGACAAATCTGTTGATAACCAATCAGAAGCAAGGATTTCAGTAGCTTATAACAAAAACTGTCATTATTCACTGACGGCAAGTTTTGTGAAACGCCCCGATGGTTCCAATACCGGGCCTGCCCTCTACTTCTGCTTGTGTTTGTACATCTTTGATGGGTTGATATCCTTGCCTGACCTAGCAAGCATTTGATAGTAGACCATGAGTCCAAACAAGACATGGGTGGTGACTACCATACAGTACTCAAAGTGGTTAGGGTAGTCCATCCCACAGATGGTGTACCATCGCTGATTATCCTGCAGGGGGGTAGTAAGAGGAGAAGAGAGAGAATGGGAGGAATTAAAGCAACGAGTATATGAAGAGTTTAATTCCAAAAGGAGCTAAATCCATTCTTGTAAAGTTCTTCAGAGAAAAAAGGAATTGTTTACCAGATTTTGTACAGGCGTCTATGGAAAAGTACTATTAGAAGGTGCAATTGCTCCCAAAATTTAGGTAAGTAATTTTGTTGAAAGACGGGTACTTAAGTGAACGATGTTCTGATATCAATAATTTTCATCAAAAGTGGATTTAGCTCCTCTTGGAATTAAGCCCTTCATATGTGCGTCTCTTTCTTACCAAACAAAGGTAGGGTGAATTGAGTGTAAGTAACACCTATGTTTCCCTGTTGTTTTTTCTTATTAGAGATGTATTCAGTTAACTCTGCATCACTCAAAGTCGCACAAGTCGAATTTTTCCCCAAGTCAAATCTAGTTTTTGACCAAAATATTTTTTGCTGTCCCAACAGATTTGACTCATGCAGAGTTAACTGTATTTTGCATCCTTTCTAATCTTTGTATAATCTATCAAAGTGGTCTGTTTGAATCTAAAGAGCTTCAACTGATTGGGAGTGTCGTGGTCGAGTGGTTTAAGGCACTTGACTGGAAATGTGATGGTCGAGGGTTTGAATCCCTACTCGGTGCTACTATCCTTTGGTAAGATATTAACCTGCACTTGCTACTCTCCACCCAGGTGTCAAATGGATACCCGGTAGGATGCGGCCGTCATTGTTGGTCAAACAGTTTTTGAGGGTCAAGTAACACCTGGCTGGAATGCTCTCCAGGGAGTGGAGATTGTGCACACAGTGTGTGTGGGCAAGCACTAAATCCAATGACCGGGGTAATAGTATATTTGTAAAGCGCTTAGAGACATTTGTATTAAACGCTATGTAAAAATTAAATATTATTATTATTAAATCTTATTATATTATATCATTTAACACCGAGTTATTGCCTTTCTAGCTCTTAACAGATGACCTTGAGGATCAACACATTTACTTTTCATAAAAGAAACACCACACAAATCCAGTAAATTGTGTATTATAATGAATTAGGATACTCCATGCCACGGGTGGTGTACCAACTCTGATTATCCTGTAGTGGTTTCACAAGAAGGAGGGGAGAAGCCAAAGAGGAATGAAGGTTAATGATAGCAATCAGGATTTTAATAATGATAATAATAGTTTGTTCTTTTATGGCATATTTTCAGGACCGCAGGCCCTCTCAAAGCGCTTTTACAGATATATTATTACCCTGGTCATCGGATTCAGGCTTTATACCCACACACAATTGTATCCACATTCTCCACTCCCTGGGGAGCATTCAAGCCAGGCGTCATTTTTACAAGCGCACACTTGCTCATCTAACCACATTAATTTTCGAATCCTACCGGGTACCCATTTTAACACCTGGGTGGAGAATGGCAAATGTAGATCAATGTCTTGCCGCGGTGGGACTTGAACTGCAGACCTTGTGATCCGCAGTCCGGTGACATCCACTCGACCACGACACCTCTACCATATTACCATTTGTATCGTGCCTAACAGCATCATATCAAATGATTTACAAACAACCGAGCTGTCCTCTGTCTTGCCTACGGGGATTTCATGTTCTTGATGTGGAATTTATAAAAAGTCTAAAATACTTGAATTTTTCGCTTTTGAATATATTTTATTTTAAGGCTACAAATGGCTCTCCATAATGTTTAAGTCCAACTTAGAGTTAAGTTCGACTTATGATCTTTGTGAAACACCCCCCAGGACTATATTCCCACGCCTCATCTTAAGGCATCATAGCAGTATCAAGATCTCATCAGAGCAATTGTTTTAAACGTTGACACTTATGGCAGTCAATATTATACAAATAATACACAGCAGTGTGGGCATTAGCAAGAATTATCCCCACAAGGTACCTTTGGAACAGTCTAACACACCCGAGGCAGTAGCCGAGGGTGTTTGGACTGTTTTGAAGGTACTAAGTGTGGGAACAAAATGATGTGTATTATTTGTTTTATAAGATTATGTTTTATTTGTTTCATAAAAAATTGTTATATATGTTATGATTTTACTAATGACCGGTCATTAGAATTGGATAATTACCGGTCATTATCCATATTACACGTTAGGCAAAATCACGAGTACGCTTTCAACCAATCATTTGATTAGGATCCACGTCATCATCTTATAATTGCATACCGGTAGGATGCGGCCGTCATAGTTGGTCAAACAGTTTTTGAGCGTCAAGTAACGCCTGGCTGGAATGCTCCCCAGTGAGTGGAGATGTTTGTGCGGACAAGCACTGAATCCAATGACCGGGTGATAGTATATTTGTAAAGCGCTTAGAGACATTTGTTTTACTGGTAAGCGCTATATCAAAATTAAATATTACTAATATTATTACTAAAACATGATCATTTAATGTTATTACCTTAGGAGGTTGTTGATCTGGTAGGCAATGCCAATCAAAGTAGTTCTCATCATAATCTGAGGTGGATAGGTATTTCTGCTTGTAGGCAAGCTGGATGAGAGATAAGCATACAATTCCTCAGTGTACATCAATTCAATTCAAGGTTTTATTTCGAAAACACATAGAGTACTATGATGCACATGCTGCAGCTAAAAAGCTGAAATGTATGTGTTTACAAGTATTAAGGATACATATACCGGTAAATAAAAAAGAAGATTCATTCATAAAACATATCTACATAATCGTACATTGAAACCATGACAGATAAAATACTGGTCTGGTTAAAAAGGCAACTATTCAAATATACAAATTAAAACAAAGATTGGGTTTGTAAAGAAAAACTTAAAACAATCAGCAATTATTGAGAAGATCAATAAAATATGGTATTGCACTTTGTTTAAAACAGGAGGTTCTGCATTTAGATTGACTATACTTGTGTTTATTTCTAAATGACATGCTAACAATTTTTCGTTCAGGAATCCAATGCAATAAAGATATACCAAATGCTTCAATATTATTTAATTGTTTTCAGGGCAAGAGTTGTCTATACCCCTGTTCAAAGGGATGTCATGGACCTAATCAAGACTAGAAATTGGCTAATTTTACAAAATTGTTGTATTACCTGTCCTAGGGCAGTGTACATGGTAACTTGTTCCTGGCGGTTTCCAGTCTCTTCGTGCAGTCCAGTAGACTGGTAGGTTTGCGGATTCATAAAGTATACCATGATGATGTAGAGAAGATAATGGGCAAATACTACAATGCCCACAGTGTCAAAGAATGGTGTCCCACCTGTAATAATAATAATAATAATAATATTAATGTAGGAGACAGGAGAGGAAAATTAAAAGAGAGAGAGGGGGAGAGAGGGGGGAAAGAGAGAGGGGAAAGAGATGAGATAGATAGAGAGAGATGAGAAAAGGAATCAGGACTAGAGTATGACTGAGGGTTCAAAATATATACAATGATTAAAAAAAAGGGGGGGGCAAATACCACAACGATGACAATGTCAAAGGATAGTATTCCACAAGAAAGAGTGAGAGAGAGAAGGGAGAGAGAGGAGGGGGAGAGAGAGGGAGAGAGAGAGGGAGAGAAGGAGAGAAGGAGAGGAGAGAGAGAGAGAGAGAGAGAGAAGGAGAAAAAGATAGAGAGAGAGAGAGAGAGCTGGCCAACGAAGTGTGCAGCATTATTTATTACTTTTATTTCCTAAGTCTGCACTACAATTCTCAAGTAGGCACCATGGATTCAATTGAACCATATATGTGCACACTTAAAGATGCTCAAGCTTGGGTATATAGAGGTTTGGTTTCTATCGGTCCTATCGGTCCTATTGGTTTATATTGGTCTTATTGGTTTCAATTGGACCAATTGGCCCCATTTGACTATAATCGGGATTTCAATTGGTTTCAATTGGACCAATTGGCCCCATCAGACTTAAATTGGACTTCAATTTGACCTCGCCAAGCGCTCGAAACCTCGCTTGCTCGGATTTCCAACTCTCGAATCACCCCTGATATATAATATTAAACGTGCATGTGAAAAATAACCTGCATGCTACATGTAAAAAGCAATAACAGGGTAAAAAAAAATTTCTAAACCTGCTCAGAGGACATATCTTAACAAATTATGATCAAAATTTACATGCTAAAGATTAAACTGCATCTCATCTGGCATGCTAAAGATTTAACCTGCTTAAACTGTAAGACTGTATTTTGCGAAATGCATGCTAATTTTTAAATTGCAGGCTGGGTTTTAGCCTGCTTAAACTGCAAGACTGTGTTTTGCTTAATGCATGCTAATTTTTAAATATAACAGGCTAAAATTTAAACTGCTAAAACATGTAAGACTGTTTTTGCAAAATACAGGCTAAAATTTAACATGCAATGGAATAATTAGCATGTATTTAAGAATGCAGGCCAGACGCAGGTTCAAAGCAGGCTAAATAAGCCTGCGTTTTCGGTAAGGGATTAGATATCATACAGGACACCAGTATAGCAAGGCAGGATCTCCAAAAGATAACGGAAAATAGAACCGAGTTAGAAACACCTTGTCATGTCAATGTGAGTTGCTCAACCTAGTAGTATTAAATATACACGCTATACTACGGTTGTCTTACCGTGTTTTCCAAATGGTCTGGCATCATCTACCGGCTTCCTATCCCCAATCCACACAATCAGCAAGTAGATGGCAAAGAGTACAGCCAAGCAGAACCCTGTAGGAACCCCATACATATCATGAGGGATGTGGTAGATAATGATGAACTGGATGGTTGCCACAGGGAATGCAAACACTCCTGCTACAGTTGCACTGATCACCTCCACTGGCATTCTGAAGCAAAAATAGCAAAATGATAGTCATAACAACCACATTATCGAATGTATACTAGCCGTGTCATTATATTGCACTCCAAAAGTGACTTTGTCTACTGATCCTTGTCCTTGTTCATCTCAAGCTCTTACATCATACTCCAAGAGCAATAAGGATCTGGAACCATCTGCCAGGCTCAGCAGTCAATGCAACAGGAATAACCACTTCAAGGAGGCTGCTCTACCCTCCATCAGAATGATGCAGCCCCCTGTTGGTTCTCACATCATATCAGCTTACTAGCTTGGTTTTTACTTGCACTGGACTCAGAATATTTTACTGTAAATTAACAAGTGCTTTGTCCACACACCATTCCAGCAATTCATGACACTCCTTGTAGGTACTCGCCTCATGTACCATCCCAGTATAGTTTCCTGAGTGAGCTGCCAGAGGGATTACCCTACCAAGTACCAAGTATAACCTGCTGTTCCTCCCAGGTATGGGCAGAATATGTATTATCATTGATAAGTATATTTTATAAAACATAACAGTTATTAAACTTTTAAAAAAGAGTACATTTTTTAAATGTCCTCTATTCCTCTGTAATAAATTGCTCTCATTATTTGCCAGCCTTGCTCTATAGCCAGCTAGGTGAGGGGAGAGGGCGAGGGAAGAAAAGGTGGATGCCCATGAAAGCCATCCAAACAAAAGATAAAGCAAGTAAGAAAAATGCACAAAGTACCACTTGTAGTATTAAATTACTCTTGTTTTTGCCAGCCCGACTCCCCGGTGCAAGCAGGAGAAGCATAGAGGAGATTGTTGCTACATGTAAAGAGCACCGGATGACAAAGCAGATCGATTGCAACACAGACATGATGATTCATATTATCAATGCGCACAGTTCTATGTTAAAAACACTTTAATTCTCCAATACCAGTAAGCTTATTGCAGCAGCCATTTTGGGGCACAGGGAAGACCAGTCTATACAGAAGCCCCATCACTTCAGCTGATGAGCTCTCTGGACCCCAAACAGACAGCAGCCCTACTCTCTCCAAGACTCAGATTAATGATCAACCTCTTTTCTGATCGATTCCACAACGTTTCTTTCACAATGCAATCGCATGACCAGAACTGGTCTATACCTTTAATATCAATCATACTAAATCATATGAGAGAGTACAACTTATCTGTTGAATGAAACATGACTTACGAATTGCTCTCATATTTGCCAGCTTTGCTCCCCAGCCAGCGGGGTGTGGCAAAGAAAAGGAAATTGTGGCTGCACATGAACGTAGCCCAGAAGAAAAAGCTGGTAATTGGAACCCAGTAGTAACGGTCATAGATGTTTGGGTCGGTGTCATGCCATGTCCACCAAAGGTGCTTGATGCCCATGATGTCATAGGGAATGTCTGAAATATAAATGAAGGGGAGGCAGCGTGGCACAATTGGATTGTCATCTGGTGTGTGGGTGATCATTGGGTTTTTACAGACGTGTATCAATCAGATATGATTATTTACGTCTGGGGACCGACCTTAAACGTCACCATCCGAAAGACATGAGTCAGTTTCGAACCAGCGTTCTCAGCTGAATCAGTTTGTAACTTCCATTGTTTGCTGGATTACAGGCGCACGCCAAAATATTATTAAGTGCTATATGAATCACGATTTATTATTTATCATTAACCTCAATCCTACTCACCAAGTAGAACTGTGACCAGTGCCTGTGCAAATGGCTCTGCCCAAAATGGGAGGCGTAGTCGAGACACAGCAACGAAGGATGGATACATAAACATGTAATCTGTAAAAGTAAACAGCAAAAGAAATAGATAATTTACCTATTACCACCTTTACTACCTGTACTATTCTGTCATATCAAATGTATTACCGGTATAGAATGTTCAACTAGTTGAAGGGCTCTTCAAGTGTTGTAGTCCAGTGGTTTAAGCACTCTACTTGAAATTCAAAGGTCCTATAGAAATGCCTATAATTATTATTATTATTACTTACACATGCAGAGAATGTATGTTGGTAGTCTCTTCGCTAGCAGCATTACAGTGGCCTGGGCATGCCAGAAGTTGTCAATGTCAGGAAGAATATAACTGATGGATTCCACAACAAATGCATGGATGAGGATGGCTAGAAGGTACCAGGCAAATCGACCTCCTCTTTTAAATGCTAGGTGGGGAGAAAATTATTATTATTATTATTTATTCCGCAGAAACAAAGAAAATTATTGAATACAAAACAAGAGTACATTTAGAAGAGAGTCACATGGATGCCGGGAACATAAAAGATTAACTTAATAACTATGATTGAAGGAAGACAAGATGGAGGAAGGAAAGGGAAGAGGAAGAGGAGAAGGAGAATGTCAAATGACGAAAGGAGGAACAAGAGAAGAATAAGTGGGAGGTAGAATGGGAGCAGAATAGTGTAATCCTATCAAGTAATAATGAAACTCTATACAAGAATTTTAAAGAAAAAGTATACTTTAAAAAAATTGGATTATTGCCAGAGGCACTTTGGGGGATGCTGCCCCCAACCCCCTTGGGGGGTTCTCACGTATATTGGGTATACGGGGATGTGCCGCTCGGAAGGGTGACTTTTTCAGGAAAGATCCTTAGACATGGGTCCCCTTTTCATAAAAAAAATCCTTAGACATGGGTCCCTTTTTTCATTTATTCCTTTCCCCTCTTTTCTCCGGGATTTTGGGATTTTCTCCTACATTGCAAATGCCTAAATCTCTCCCATCTCTAAATAAATGAATCCTTCGGTTGATTGCATTTCCAGTGTACAAGGTGTACGCACTGACCTCTAAGTCAGTAGCTTGTAAACTCAACTAGATCCCGGGGTACCACATATATCACGACCCCATGGGCTCTATACCGGGTACTCATATGGCATAATGCGCGCTAGGTATGGTATCCGCCCGTATAGGGGTTGTACCCCCGGAAACTTGTAGCGCTTTACACGCTGAAAATGATATGATCATCAGCTATACCCTGCGTAACCTCTGTCCAGCAGCCGGGCAGCAGCGGGGCTCAAGCAGGGAGCTATATAGCCAATGCTTGAGAGCTCGTGTACGGGTACGTTAATTAAAACAGGAAAAGTCCTTCAATTAGAACAGATGCTAGAGGTGCTAGCACAATATAACTATGTTGCATGGTGTTTTCATCTTTATGTGTGTAAACTACTTGTAAACTACATGTTGTATGGTACAGTTTACTAATAAAGAATTTTATCGAGAAACTGCAAAATTTTTGGCCATTGTATTAATACACACATAGGTGCATTACTATCCTGGCTGTGTATTAAAAGCTGTGCTATTGATTCTCAACATTTCAAACACCACTGTATAAAACTCAACCAATTTCACTAAAAATCTATACTTTAGTGACAATCGATAAGATCTAAATAGCAGTAAAATACATTTTTTCAACTTTCCGATGTTAGAAAGAATAATTTAAAAAATCAAATTGTGAGTCCAATGTCGAACTTGCCGATCAGCCGCATCGGCATGATTGTGTGCATCTCTGTGTTATGAGTGTATTGACTATTCATGTATTTAAATGCTGCCTATTAACGCATAGTGCAGTGCTAAAGGTCAATATGCATTAGCGTTGACTCTCCATATGCTTTGCTGGAGTGTATTATTACAGCTTAAAAAATGTAATATTTGACGTTTGAAATCCTTAGACATGGGTCCATTTTTCACAAAAAATCCTTAGACATGGGTACCTATTTCAGCAAAAGGACCCTTGGATGTGGGTATGGGTTCGGAGGTCTCAGCCGCACACCCCCGTCCGACTATAATCTGAGTATATGTTCCCCCCCCCTCCCGGGGGGAACATATACCCCATTTGCACAACTTTAGGTCTCCATTTCAAGCAGGTGATTCCTACAAAATTAGGTTAGAATCCAGCTAAAATAATCTCATCTGTTGAGCTAAATGGGCATTAATTCTGTTTAATTTTTTTTTCTTCAAGTTAATGCCTTTCTGGCTCTAGGCATAAGATATTATGTTTTTATTTCAGATTTCTTTTTAAAATAAATAAGACGATATAAATACGAATAAGCCAAAATATACAAACCATGTCTAATGAGCAAGAAAGCAAGAATATGGTAGAGAATCTCAGCGACAAAGAAACTGCTGTGATTGGTCCATATCTCACGGGGATCTCGAAAGGCGATCAACCAATCCAAGATCTGCGGGGGGGGGGGGGGGGGGGGGGGGACCCAAAAGACAAGAAAGATTTATCAATCTAAAACTGAATCACAAGAAATTATTTTAGTTTCTTTATATCAAAACTTTGAAGGTAGATCTATTTCGTGAAAGTTTAAAGGATTATTGAAACAGCCTGGTGATTGTACTCCTGCTATCTGCACTACATCTTCAAAACACCGCCACAAGGCTTGTAAATGAACTAAATGAACTCTTTAATTCTCCAATGCCATATAGTTGACCACCTGTTACAATACCACAAACAATAGCAACATATAAGTTGCTATGTCAGACATGTCAGACTAAACTACCGGTAATATTCTAAAATAGACAATGGTATGTTATTTCCCCCAGCTAATAAGCACACGCACATGTACGTTCATAAAAGAATTGCATGCTTCCGTACATATGTACAATACATCATCATTGCCTTTGTCTTCCTGGTGATGCTACAGCATGTCTGACATAGCAACTTACATGTTGCTATATTGTATTACGTATTGTGACAGGTGGTCGACTTCAGCAAAGATACATAGACTACCCCTTCCTCAAGTTAGCTCATTGATGACTGATGGATGATATCACAAGGGGAATGAGATCTGGAGGTTTTTGGGGTGGAGCTTAGCAAGTTTGAAAAACAAATATTGCAAAAAATATATAAAAAATCTATGAAACAAATTCAGAAGTTTATATTAAATATAAAAATATGAGATGTATGCAGGACTGCACACCAACAGGAATAAACGTATTTCGATGTCATGGGCCCTTTAATATTGTAGATTGAATGGCAATGCATTCATTATAATAATTCATTGCCATTCAATCTACATTTCAACTCACCTTACGAATATCACTGCCTGTTACTGCCATATTTGAAGTCTCGCGATCGCGATGAAGTCTCTGCTTAGCCTAGGAGTAGGACGGGAGCTCCGGAGGACTGAGAAGGAGTGATCGGAGGGGTAAAAATCGCAATGCCTGCCTAGCTACAGCTACAGTCAGTAAACATGGTATACTGCACGACACGTAGATTTCCACTAAATCTATCAAGTTTGGACCACTCATCTAGCTATCATGTTAATCACTTAATAAGTTAATTCTAATCATGTCGGATCACGTCACCCTGACCCAAGCCCCTGGATAAAATGCCTAGCTGGAGCTGGAGCTTGTACAAGTAGCACTGGTGCGCGGCAGAGCTAGCAAGAGAAGTTTCACCTCCGCGCGCTCCCTGAATACCCTCGACGGTATATATATATACCGTCGAGGTATAAGCCTCTGACTCGACTGCACTACTGGGGCCTGGGGCCAAACCGTGAAAACTTCTTGTCTACCGAAAGCTACTTGTCGATTCACGCAGCCCTATTTGCCAAGATCAAGGACAACATCCTGACTAACTATTTATTCGATGGGCAGCGCAAATGTGCGTACGAATTAAGGGGGGGGGGGGGGTCAAACCAGGGGCGTAGACACCGGGGGGGGGGGGATGAGGGGGATGCATCCCCCCCCCCCAGGTTTTGGGGAATGATATTTGCTTACTTAATAAGTCATAATGATGATAATAATAGTAATAATAATAATGATAACAATTATAATATTAATAATAATAATAATTATGATGATGATAATAATAATCCTCATCATTATTGTAATTGTGTTTATTGTTATTAGCCGCATTCACACGGTGAAAGCCAATTCAGACGGTAAAAAAAGAAAATCTTACAAGTATTTTGTGGTTATCTTGTGGTTTGGAAACCACAAGATAACCACAAGATAAAACAGGCGCGGATCTACGGGGGGGGTTAGGGGGTTTCAACCCCCTTGGACGGCCCCAAAAAAAAAAAAAAAAAAAAAAGGGGGAAAAAAAGAAGAAAAAAAAAAGAAAAAAAGAACGCACGCTGGAGAGAAACCCTTTCAAGTGCAAATATTGTGAGAAGATATTCAACTCATCTGGTAACTTAACTAAACACATGATAACTCTGGATATAACTGTGTATTTAACTGTTTATACTTGATTTAAAAAGACGTTGCATGCACTGCTTTTTATGGTCTCCATTGTGTTAATAGATGCCAGGAAAACATCACTTACGGGGTTCAAATGAACACCCCAAAAAAAATCGGATCGCCGCTTCGCGGCTCTGCATCGTCATTATTGGTCAACCCCCCCCCCTTGGCAAAAAGCTAGATCCGCCCCTGAGTCATCCCCCCCCCCCAGGTGTACGAACCTGTCTACGCCACTGGGTCAAACGTTAAAAAAAAAAACGAAGGTGGAGGTGAAAATAAAGAAAGACAGATTCCCGGCATTCCCGCTGAATAAATGAGAATGCAAAAAAAAAGGATCACATTTTTGAAAGAAGAATTTTAGCATTGATTGGAGAAAAAGTTCCGGCAAATTAGGATACCTGAATATAAACCGCCGCGGTTTGCACAAAGACCTGATACGTATTTGCGTTGGCCGAGTTTTAAATCATCGATATACCTTATCTACTTTCCTTGAGAGAGGGGTGTATAGAGCTCTGGGAAGGGTAAGGAAATTGTCCAATGCATCTTTCAACCTATTTGTAATTACACAAAGGATAACCAATATTAATTTTTGGGAAATTGTGATTTACTGCAATGTGCAGAGGCGGCCCTCCCAGGGAGGCGGAGGGGGCACAGAGCCCCCCCCCCCACACTTTTCAAGCGCCCAAAAAGTGTCCCTTTTTACATAGGAAAAGTGCCCTTTTAACTTTTTAAGAAGTGCCCCTTTTTACATAGGAATCGTGCCCCTTTTACTTTGACAAGTTCCCCTATTGATTTATAAAAATGCTCCTTTTCAACTCCGTATAAGTGCCCCCTTTTATTTGGACACGTGCATCTTTTCCTTCAACAAGTTCCAATTTTTCTTTTGCAATAAGTGTCCACTTTCCATTCTCACGACTGCCCTTTTTAATCTCTAGTAAGTGCCCGTAGCTAGGTAAGTGCCCCCTTCACCTCTGATAAATGTCCTATTTAAATCTGAGAGATACGTGCCTCTTTTACTTTGACAAGGGCCCCTTTTCCTTTGTAAAGGTACCCCTTCCCCTTTTAATAACTACCCACATTTTAACTCGGATAGGCCTAAGCGCACCTTTTATTTTCACATGTGCTCTTTTTCCTTTAAGTGCCCCTCTTTCTTATGATAAGTTCCCCATTAAAAAAAGAGCCACTTTTCCTTCTCATAAGTGCCCCTTCTCTGGTAAATGACCATTTTCAGGTACGAGAAGTTACTCCTTTTCACTTCAGACAGGTGCCCCTTTTTCATTCACATAAGTGCCTCTTTTCATATCTGATCATTGCCTCTTTTCAGATGCGATAAGTGCCTCGTTTCACCTCTGATAATTTCCCTTTTAACAATATATAATTATATCTTATAAATGCCCCTATCAAAATATGATGGGGGCCCCTTTTCCTTCGACAAATGCCCGTTTCCTATTCTCATGACTGACTTTTTTCATCCCTGGTGAGTGCCTCTTTTTGAGGGTGTAAGAAGTGCCCCATTTCCACTTCTGATATATTACTCTTTGTACTTTGGCACATTCTCCTTTTCTTTCCTGATAAGTGTCCCCTTTACCAATTTCAAGCGACTAAGAGCAATATCCCCAAATGTATATTTCGCTTTGAGATTTCCCTTTGTAGGTGCCCTTTTTCTCTCCAGAAAGTGCCCTTTTTTCTTGGTGCCCCCTCCCCCATTTTGGAAGTCGCTCGGCCGCCCCTGCTGCTGTGTCTTCTCACAACGAAAAACAAAAAACAGTATAAGGGGGTAATGATGGTGGGGCATCAATGTGGCTAAAACTGGATTTTGTGCAGTTTTAGGATTAATTGTTTGAAAGGGTCTCTTTAATAGTATAATTGTATATGTTTTTATTTTATAATACTTCAATCAAATTTCTCGACCAGATGATTCGGACTTTCTGACCCTTCCCAGAACTCAGAAATGAGCAATTTTGGCTCTTCGAGGGGTGCATTGCTAGAATTGAAAAATAATGTTTCTACTATTGGGCACTTTATATAATCACATTGGGCAATTTCGGCTTTAGAAGGACACTGAGTCTAATCCCTTGAAAAGGGTTTTCTTTTTCACCTGACGGGGAAACCTAATTTGAATTGAATTAACGCGATATTGGCTCGATAATGGCTCTGATAATTTTTCGACCATGACGGGCCACTTTCCTTTTTATAGTAGGGCACTTTACGCCACTTGAAAATGATAATGTCGTCCCATGGCAGGCCACTTAAGAACCGAACAGGGCAATTTTTTGTTCTAAAAGGGCACCTTTGTCCCATTAGAAAAATGAAATATTTGGCCCATGACCATGTAACTAAATAGGAAAGTATCCGCTCCAGGAGTGCACTTTCGTTCCTTTGAGGGTAGAAATACATGTTTCCCGACGGCACACTTGAGGTAACCAAATTCATTCAAATATTGTCCATGTTGTCACTCATAACATGTAATTATAATGAATCGTACACAATTGACATATTGGGAAAAAAACACTAAATAGTGAAGCCATGCCCTGCTTGACAGTGATGGAAACTTATTTTTAGAAAGATACCTCGAAAAGGACAATTCTGCCCCCTTGAAGAAATTAGAATTTCCCCCTCACTGGCCACTTTTATGATATTTATTATATAACCATCATCGCAGCTCGTAAGCTGAATTACAAATGATGTTACAATAACAAGTGCATGAACTTAATTAATTAGAAACGGCGTAAAACATAAACAAAATATATTTCCTCATAATAATAGTAGGGTTATTAGGTAAGAACAGGAAAAATATGTTTATCCTAAATTAGGCTGGAAAGGGAATTAGAGAAGGAGAAGCTGAGGGTTCTTAAATAATAATTAAGTATATTTAATCAAGGTAAATTTTGTAGATTACAAAAATGGTTTGGAATATGGCAATTTTGACTCTAGAAGGGCACTTTTGCCACCCTGAAAAATGAACATTTCGCCCCCTAAAAGTAGGAATTTATCTTATTTATAACTTTAGCTTTTCGATCCTTCAGTGTAAAATTGCATGTTGCCAACATGGAACACTTCAGGTAACCAAATCTATTCATCATTGACCAGGTTCACACTCATAACATCATTAACATGTAATATGAATTGTAAAAATATGACGCAGTGGAAATCTAAGTGACAATTCTGGTTCTTTCAGCTTCCACCACCACTGGAAGAAAAAGAAGGGGGGAAAAAAATCGTAATTCCTTGTGCCCCGGCCCACGAAAAAGCAAGGCCCCCAATGTCCCTTTGCTCCCTCGGTGGGTCACTAATGTGCCATCAAATTTCAAACACCCCTTTATTTTTATTCTGTGTACGCCACTGGCAGAGCCATCACATGTCATTTATTGGGTAAGCCCAGACCGGGAAGGGGGGGGGGGCACAATGCCCCACTTTTTCGAGTACCCCCATAGTGCCTCTCTTTCAAGCAGAGGAGGTACCTCGTTTTACTTCAGATAAGTGCCCATATCCTTTGTAATACATACGATCATTCCCTTGATCTTATAAGTACCCCTTTTCATCTCTGATGAGTGCCCCATGAATGAATTGGGGTAAAACTAAAATATTCCACCTTTATGAGCGACAGTGTATTTTATATAAAGTACATGAAGTGTTTACAAAAAATACACAATGTACAGTGAACAATTACTATTGTACTAAGTAAAACAAAATATAAGGGACGAGCTAAAGGCGTGAGACTTGGTAGGTCTGTTTAGGGGGTCGTCCCCCCCCCCCGGAAAATTTGAAAAAGTGCAAAAAAAGAAACGTATAGCAAATACTGACTATAAAGACTGCAACACATGTTTAGGCTCTGGAGGGCCACAGAGTGCAGCGTTTAGACTAATACAAATGCAAAAATCTTCTTGCTCCCTCGCATAATATCCTTCAAAATGTACAAGTAAATATTATAGAAAATCTGTATTTCGTTGGTATCACGTAAGCACAGTTTACACTGTATGTTTATAAGATTAAGAGTTATAGAAATAGATTAGTGCTACAAAAAGTGCCATTTTGCATGTTACAGGTATTCCATATTGGCTGGTTTTAATAGTTCTCTACCACATAGTCTATATATTTGCCATGTAACTCCCATAGCGAAGGTCTATATAGAGTGTAAAATATAAATCCCATCCACGCCCAATTCAGGCTCCTTAGAGACAAAGAATCGTCTTCTTTCTCTAATAATTTAATGAAATGTCAAAGGTATGCCCCAGATTGCACACTTTCAAGTCGAAAAATGAAAAAGCTCCCTACCGTGGGAGGGGGGAACACCCCACCCCCTCCCCGCTCGGTCGCTACGCTCCTGCGTCCCAAAAAAGTTTTCGCCCATTACGCCACTGGTAGTAGTAGTAGTAGTAGTAGTAGTAGTAGTAGTAGTAGTAGTAGTAGTAGTAGTAGTAGTAGTAGTAGTTGTTGTTGTTGTAGTATAGTAGTAGTAATATTATTATTGTTATAATCATCATCATTTTCGTAATTATTACTATTTAGACTAGGCCTATATTAGTAGACGAAAAGAGAGAGGCGGAGAGAGAGAGGGGGGGGGGTGGAAGAAAAATAATGAGAGAAAACAGTGGCGTACTTAGCATGAGTCCAGACCACAGAACTTGAAAATATTTTCAGTTTTGGGGTCCAGACATTATATGAGCATCGGCATGCATGATGGGGGAGTGGCCGGGGATATGTCATGGGAGGATACAATCAAGTTGATTGATTTTCATTTGGGGTTTATCCAACCACTTTTAGCCACGTACGTATTGCATCATACCTGATTTGTTTGCTACCTAATTTAGGAGATAAGATATATATTAAAAATAATTTGTTGATGTCAAGTAGCCGAGGACTCTGTGTACCCAAAGATCAATCGATCATTCATAATATATACAAAAGTATTTGTAAATATATAACTGTTGATATATAAGGGGGAAATATTAGTATGAAAATTGATAGTAGGCCTATGGGCAGGACATGTTAAAAGTACAATGATATACTTCATGGTGTTATTTAAGCTCGGGTATCTATTTCATCTATTTCTGTACTTATTGGTATCTATTATAAAAAAGTATGATTGAAAATAAATGGTGACATAAAGACATCGGTGTCTTTATATACACGTTGAATCAGTGACGTGGCTACAACACGCATGTGCAATGACCTGGGTCAGTGCTCTTGTAACCATACGTGGCATACACATTGGTACCGATCCTCTGTGGAACAGGGTCGATTTCCGTATTCCAGCAGGTAAGTTCTAGGCTTTTATAAGAATTTTCGGTGGATTTCGTTATGCCATATATATTTTTCATATATAGAAATGAACTGTAATGTGAGTTATTGTCTAAAATGTTGGAAAAACGATGTGCGATGTTACTGTGAAATGGAACATCTTGTTCGCACGGCTGGGGCCGGTTCGTTTTACACGCAATTTCTATGGGAGCAGCGCCCGGTGAATCACTCCCTGTAATCGTAGCTACATGTAGGCCTAGATCTAGGCTGTTTTGTGCACGCAGCGGTTTAGAGAATGAAAGAAATAAGATCCCATAATTTGTTGATTTACATTTGTTAAAAATGTTATGATTATTTTATGGTTATTATTACTATAACTAGATCTAGACCAAAGGGTCTAGCCTATTTGTATTTCAATTATTTGTTTAGAAATAAGAAGGGAGGGGTTCGTGTTGCATGTTTATCGACGGGAGGTATGGAGGTGGTGTGACCGAAGTTCACTCTCTAAAAATTAGTAAGATTTCGAAAATCTGTGTGAACTTATCTACCGTAATGAGGATAAGAGACATTACAGTAGATAACTTGGAACAACTTTAGAATACCCCACCATGCGAACTAAAGGTTTTTTTTTGATCCGCCAACCCAACGCTTCAACTTGTTAAAGTACTACAACTTGGTGCCGAGATATAGACCTAGTCTTGAATGGAAATCGCAATCGTGCCGCCAACGTGCCAACGAGCCAACATGAGTTGAGAGACTGAATTTATATCGCCAACGTGCCGAGCCAACATGAGATGAGAGACTGAATTTATATCGCCAACGTGCCAACGTGCCAACGAGCCAACATGAGTTGAGAGACTTGAATTTATATAGCCAACGTGCCAACGTGCCAACGAGCCAACATGAGTTGAGAGACTTGAATTTATATCGCCAACGTGCCAACGTGCCAACGAGCCAACATGAGTTGAGAGTTTTGAATTTATATCGCCAACGTGCCAACGTGCCAACGAGCCAACATGAGTTGAGAGACTTGAATTTATATCGCCAACGTGCCAACGTGCCAACGAGCCAACATGAGTTGAGAGTTTTGAATTTATATCGCCAACGTGCCAACATGCCAACGAGCCAACATGAGTTGAGAGTCTTGAATTTATATCGCCAACGTGCCAACGTGCAAACATGAGTTGAGAGTCTTGAATTTATATCGCCAACGTGCCAACGAGCCAACATGAGTTGAGAGACTTGAATTTATATCGCCAACGTGCCAACATGAGTTGAGAGACTTGAAGATAAATCGCCAACGTGCCAACGTGCCAACGAGCAAACATGAGTTGAGAGACTTGAATTTATATCGCCAACGTGCCAACGTGCCAACGTGCCAACATGAGTTGAGAGACTTGAAGTTAAATCGCCAACGTGCCAACGTGCCAACGAATCAACATGAGTTGAGAGACTTGAATTTATATCGCCAACGTGCCAATTACGTGCCAACGAGCCAACATGAGTTGAGAGACTTGAATTTATATTGCCAACGTGCCAACGAGCCATAGTTGAGAGACTTGAAGTTAAATCGCCATCGTCTTGGAAAAGGGCTTATGAGAATGAAAAGAGACTGTTTTCATAAATAAAAAGGAGACTGTTTTCACAGATGAAAAAGGGCATTTATGAGAAAGGGAAGGGGCTCTTTTTTAAATGGGGGCGCTTATTAGAAAGGAAAGGGGGCACATGTGAAGATATAAGGTGCGCTTATCAGATTTGAATAGGGCAATTATCAGAGGTGAAAAGGGGCGCTTCTCGTATCTGAAAAGAGGCACTTAAATTATTACAGATTATAAAGGGCACTTATGAGAATGAAAAATGAACACTTAATGGGAACTTGTCGAACGAAAAGGGGTACGTGTAAAGAAGAGGGTTTTTATGTCAGAGGTGGAAAGGGGAAGGGGCACTTTTAAATATTAATAGGGGCACTTTTCAAAGTAAAAGGGGCACTTTTTATGTAAAAAGGGGCACTTCTTACAAGGTTAAAAGGGCACTTTTCCTGTTTTAAAAGGGGCACTTTTGGAGAACTTGATAAAGTGGGGGGGGGGCACTGTGCCCCCCTCCCGGGAGCGCCGCCTCTGATAAACATACATGCAACGTACATCACACATAATTATGTGTATATATACTTTTATAAACGTTATAATTTTAAATGAAAGTTTCGCTTGTACCAGTTAAATATTCGTCTAATAGTAAAATATCCTAAGCACTAAATGACTAATCGAAACTGTTTTATACTCGACCAAATGTAAAACGTTTTGTTAACTATAAAGGTCAGGCGATATTCATCCTATTTCATATACAATCATATGAACGAATTATCTCATGACTGCTCTCCTAATTTGGTAAGTGGGTTATTTACATAATATGTTTGCCATTTTCTCTGTTATTTAGTTTGGTTTACAAAATATTAACGCTGTTGATTATGCTTCAACTGCAAGCTTGACTGCTGATACCGAGTGATAAGTTATACTTATAATGATAGTGAAACAAGGCATTTCCAGAATCTGTAGTAGTACCTAGTAGTAGTAGTACTACTACTACTATGGATGGATGTAGTACTACTACTCAGTAGTACTACTACTACTACTAAAGTTCAAAGCTTGCGCGCTTCGCTGAACTGAATTCAGACAAGGATTAAGAGTCGAGAATGGTACAACGAATGGTCTTCTTTCTCTATGACTTTAATGAAACGTCAAAGCTTGCGCGCTTCGCGCGAGAGGGGGGGGGGGGTGGGAATGATTTCAGACAAGGATTATGAGTTAAGAATGGTACAATGAATCGTCTTTTTTTTCTAATAATTTTTGAAAGGTCAAAGCTTACGCGCTTCGCGCGGCTTTTCCATATTCACCGCTCCTTATGTATTTGTTTGTTTAAAACTTCTTTTATCTTCTTTTTCTAATTTCCTCATGTTATTTTTTATTTCTCTTTCTTTTCCATTTACATTTTGCTTATTAGCACCTGTCTTTCCTTATGGTATTTTTGATTTCCTCCTTCTTTTAAATTTTCTTTCCATATTATTATTTTGTTTAATCTTCCATTTCTATCTTTCCACAAGTTATTCTTTGTTTTAAACACCCAAGGACACCAGGTCCCCGTCACCCTAGGCACTGGAGTTTGCGTTACCTGTAACTCTCACCCTAATCCTAACCCTAGGACACCGGGTCCCGCGTCACCCGAGGACACCGGAATATGCGTTACCCTAACTCTAACTCTCACCCTAACCCTAACCCTAGGACACCAGGTCCCGCATCACCCTCCGGAGTTTGCATTACCCTAACTCTCACCCTAACCCTAACCCTAGGACACCGGGTCCCGCGTCACCCTAAGACACCGGGTCCCGCGTCACCCTAGGACGCCGGAGTTTGCATTACCATAACTCTCACCCTAACCCTAACCCTAGGACACGGGTCCCGCGTCAGCCTAGGACACCGGGTCCCGCGTCACCCTAGGACACCGGAGTTTGCGTTACCCTAACTCTAACTCTCACCCTAACCCTAACCCTAGGACACCGGGTCCCGCGTCACCCTAGGACACCAGGTCCCGCGTCACCCTAGGACACCGGGTCCCTCGTCACCCTAGGACACCGGAGTTTGCGTTACCCTAACTCTCACCCTAACCCTAACCCTAGGACACCGGGTCCCGCGTCACCCTAGGACACCGGGTCCCGCGTCACCCTAGGACACCGGAGTTTGCGTTACCCTAACTCTCACCCTAACCCTAACCCTAGGACACCGGGTCCCGCGTCACCCTAGGACACCGGGTCCTGCGTCACCCTAGGACACCAGGTCCCGCGTCACCCTAGGACACCGGGTCCCGCGTCACCCTAGGACACCGGAGTTTGCGTTACCCTAACTCTCACCCTAACCCTAACCCTAGGACACCGGGTCCCGCGTCACCCTAGGACACCGGGTCCCGCATCACCCTAGGACACCGGGTCCCCCGTCACCCTAGGACACCGGAGTTTGCGTTACCCTAACTCTCACCCTAACCCTAACCCTAGGACACCGGGTCCCGCGTCACCCTAGGACACCGGGTCCCGCGTCACCCTAGGACACCAGGTCCCGCGTCACCCTAGGACACCGGAGTTTGCGTTACCCTAACTCTCACCCTAACCCTAACCCTAGGACACCGGGTCCCGCGTCACCCTAGGACACCGGAGTTTGCGTTACCCTAACTCTCACCCTAACCCTAACCCTAGGACACCGGGTCCCGCGTCACCCTAGGACACCGGAGTTTGCGTTACCCTAACTCTCACCCTAACCCTAACCCTAGGACACCGGGTCCCGCGTCACCCTAGGACATCTGGTCCTGCGCCACCCTAGGACACTGGAGTTTGCGTTACTAACTCTAACCCTAACTATAGGACACCGGGTTCCGCGTTACCCTAACTCTCACCCTAACCCTAACCCTAGGACACCGGGTCCCATTTCTGTTTGATTTTTTTCTTCTTTTGCAGTTTTACAAATATATAACAAACAAAACATTTTTATACATGACAAAAGAGTATATGTGAAACAAAGTAAGGTTGGCTGTAACTAATCAGAAACATCAATCAGGTTTATTTTTTATTGCTTGATTTTCTTTTTCTTTTTCAGTTTTACAAATATATAACAAACAAATCATTGAACATTTATACATGACAAAAGATTAAACAAAGTAAGGTTGGCCGTAACTAATCGAAAACATCAAACAGGAGGGTTGACAAAGTAAGCAAAGCTTGATAGTATGACTACCCTCAATGGATACATAATAATACAAATATGGAGACAAAAATATTGGTAAAATGGAAAAAAGAGAGAGAGGGAGAAAAAAGGGAAGAAAAAAATTAGTAGGGGGTGTACATCAAAATGTACAGATTTTTGTGGTAGATGGATTTTTATTGATATATTATGGTTATAGTATATTATTCCTCTATTCCTCTTTTCTTGTTTTCAATTTGTTTTACCCACGACCACTTCTTCTTCTTTTTCTTCTCC